GCGGTTACAAGGACGACAAACACGACAACAACAACAATGGCGCCAGTTCACAGGAGGCACTCTGCAATGATCCATATTGCACCTGTCCTAATCACACAAACAAGGGTCCTTCGTCGCCACCCCCGCCGCCACCACCACCAACAATGGGAGGATACTGTGGAGAAGGTGCAACACAATTTGTTATGCGGCCACACTACTAGGACAAACCAATCTTTTTAAAGGGGTCATATCCATGTGTTTGTTTTTTTGGTTTAATCACGTAAGACATGTTAGGGTTAGTCGAAGGAAATATGTACCCTTGTTTGGCACATGTTCTCACATGCCATTTCATGTGCTTGTTGTCTGCTTCAATTACCTAAGGCGTGTTAGGTTTACTCCAGGACCTGTGTACCCTAGTTTGGTATATGTTATCATATGTCATTTCATGTGTTGTGTGTGTTGAATTAGGTAATCCACTACTTCGTTACGTTTTATTTGCACTACGTGAGCTCGTCTCACTACATATGCAATATTAAACTCAATATTATGACAACAAATAATGAAACCAACAACACTATGAAAGGTCCAATAATAGAGCACATTAATCAACATAACAACATTTGAAGTACATTACGACAAACTAAAAGTGCATTACATGACAACACAATGCAAAGTCCAAGATTAGATAACATTGCTCATGAATAAACTATAGAAGTAGCAAGTCATGAAGACTACTAAGTGCAACGAGGCCACTTTTCCTTTCTCTGGGCATCGGGATTCTCCTCCATCGCTGCCTTCGATCGGAGCGCACGCTCAAGCTTCCTCTCCATCTCCTCCTTGTACGAAGCAACACGCCTCCTTTCCTCCTCTTTCTTGTGCTCCTTTTCTAGAGCCTCCTCTATGTGTCTCTTCTCTATCATCTCCTTGTCCTCTGCCTCCCGCCGTAACAGTTATGCATCTACTCCTTGTCTTCCGACTTGATCTCAGTGTCAATCCACTGCTCAAAATCACAGAGCGGTGGGGTCTGCAACAAATACAATTGTTACAAAACAAATAAATCATGCAAGACTTTATTTGACACAAAATAAATATTAAACAACATCAATTTCTCACCATCTTATTAATGCGGCGCTGACGAAGTGTAGGCTCAAACGTAAAATTGGCACACATCCAATACCTCTGCCTATACGTGTCCTCTTCATTGGACTTGGCTACCTTGCAAGGATCGCCGCAAAAGCACATGGGCACTGGAACACCACTAGGCAGAGGCAATGGATCGAAGGCATTTTCGGTCATCCGGCCATAACTACAATTGAACCAAATTTGTTCTAAGAATCGAAAGCAATGAACATTAAACCCATAAACCTAGGGTTTTTTCTATTTGTTGCACATAAATGAAAACATAATATAACACGATGATAAGAGATTACCTTGGCTTAGTAGCTTTACCACGTCTTGGCATCCTACTGTTACATAATACAAAAAATAAAAAATCACTTCAAACATTAGGTAATAGCGTATCTAGGGTTACAAAATAGACGTAATATATACCAAATCAATGCGTAAAAATGATAAGGGGAGAGAGGATACCTTGCTCGCGAAGATGTATGGATCAAATCTAAGTATCCAAGGTCAAATTCATCGATTCAAGATATTGGACGGGCTAGGGAGAGAAAGAAACCGAGAGGGAGGAGGAAAAAATGAGAGAAGCCTCGGCAAGGAAAACTTGGCCGTGGGTTTTGAATGCATGCTCAGCGTCAGAACACATGGCGCCGAGCTCGACGCCATGTGTTTTGGCGCCGAGGTACCGGCCACGTGAACTCCACATAGGATGCCCTGTTGTGCATGGCCAGGCACCTCGGAGCCATGATCTGTAGCGCCGAGACGTGTTACCTCGGCGCCATGAGTCCTGGCGCCAACCAACAGGGTCCAAAGATAAGTTTAAGTCTTCCAGGAGCAAACGTAAATTTTCTTCAGAAAAAAGGGTCAAAATGCAAAAAAAATTGGGTCGGTAGCCCCCATGTGGCCTAGTCCAACGAACCCACGACTCCACCCACACACGCGCAACAGCCCACGCAACCACCACAGGGGGCGTCTAGCTACCGACCACGGTGGCAGCGAGCTGCGCGCCGACCAGAAGAATTATTTTTCCGTCGCGCGCACGATCTGAGGTATGGGCCGATTTTATTTTGGTTATTGGGCCTAGCGTTTGATTGGACTGTTTCTGACCGAACCTCCGACTCGCTCCCTCTTGCGGCTTCCGCGCCTCGCCCCCTCCGTAAAAACTTCTCCGGTGTCAATTTCCACGGAGAAGAAATAAATAGAAGAAACTTTCGCAAAAAAAAAAGAAATAAATAGAAGAAAAGAAAAACCAAAATAGTATAAAAATGAGTTTTTTTTTACAAAGGACATATATTTAAAGCAGCATTACATCACCTTCACGTAAGGTGAAAAAGCAAACCAAGAACGGTTCGGACACATACACCACACACGTGTACAACCAGTCCTCTACGTGTCACCACAAAGGAGGAAAGAAGACACGTATCACTGCACTGGCCTATGAGGCCAACATCATCGTTGCCCGAAAGCAGGTCGTCATTCAACACCACCAGACCGCATAGGTGATTTCTCCAAGTAACGAAATATTTATACTATTGTAACCTTATCAGATTAGTTAATTAAAAAAGTACTCCACCCTCACAAAAATTAATGTAGTAGACTAAAAATATATCATATGCCATATCATGGAATATGAAAAATTTACGTAATATAAAATAAAATCAAAATATATTAAAAAAGTATTCAAAAGCAATAGAGAAAAATAAAAGAAAACGACCTAAAATACATCTTACAACATCATATGTACACTATGTGGACGCCGTAAAATTCATCGTAGAACATCACATGTAGACTATGTGAACATCATAGCATACATCATAGAACATCACATATATACTACTTGAACATATCAAAATACATCATATATAGAATGTCACGTGTATACTACGTGAACATCATAACATACATCATAGAACATCACATGTATAATACGTGAACATCACAAAATATATCTTAGAACATCGCATGTATACGATTAGGCATCACAAAATGCATCATAGAAAATCATGTGTATACCATGTGAACATCATAAAATACATCAACGAACATCGCATATATACTAAGTAAACATCACATATATATATTATGTGAACATCACAAAATACATCATAGGACATCGCATGTATACTACATGAATATCACAAGAATATCAAATATCACATGTATACTATGTGAACATCACATATGTTGCATGAAATATAGGAAATTCCTACATTTCATGCAACAGATGTGATGTTCGTATACATATATTCAAAAGTAAAAAAAATAAAATTATTAAACTAATGAATTAAATTAAAATGACAAAGAAGAAAATGCAAATAAAAGCATGAATAACAAATGCTAAATATATACAAGAAATAAATAACTGAAATAGGGAAGATAAAAAATTAAAAAGAACCACAGGCATACTATGCGAGCATGACCTATACCTAATGGAACATATGAAATGAAAAAACTTAAAAGAATAAAACATGAAAATGATTAAATAAAGATTGGAGTAAAACAAAAATAGAAAATGAAAAACAAAGTTAAAAAGTCTAAATAAACTGGGAACAAAGTAAATAGAAGTAAAGAAAGAAAAATAAAAAAACATGAAAATAAAATAGAATAAAGAAAATAAATTAATCAGAATAAAAGAAAAAGAAAAAAGAGATATAAAAAGATAAATAAAATAATATTAAAAGACCTCGTAACAGGAAAAAAAATAAGAATAAGAAACAAAATACATCATAAAACGTTAGATGTATACTATATGAATATCACAAAAAATATCAAACATCACAATATCACATGAAATTTAGGAAATAAAAAAATAATAAATATAGAAAATACAAAAAGAAATAAATAGAAATGAAAAAGAAAACAAAATGATAATAAGAAAACAAAATGATAATAAGAAATTGAACATGAAAATCAATAAAAAAGAAGCAAGGAAAGAAAATAAAAAAGAATAATAAAAAATAAATACAAAAGAAAAGAATAAGGAAAAGAAAATAAGAAAAATAAGAAAAATAAAAGAAAAGTAAAAATAGATAAACATGAAAAACATGAAACAAAGAAAAAATAGTTATAAAAAAGAAACTATAATAAGAAAGAGAGAAACTAACTGTGCGAACATATATCAAAGAAAAACAAGCCGTATATTAACGTCATATGTTTCATACAAGATAGAAGAATAAACAACCACAGAAAAAGAAAAAAAAACACGTACGTACTCATCCTGTCGCTCCCTACGTTATGAAAAGGAATGCTACGTCGTTCCTGTCGCTCAGTGCAGCCCTCGCGGAGGTGGGCCACGCTCGCTCACGCTCATGGGCCGCTCTCAAGCCAGCAGCGTGTGGCCGCGTGCGGGATCGGGGGGGTCGGCAGGCGGCACGGGTCCAACTGGTCGGCAGCGAAGCTTTCCGACCACCACAGGCTTAACGAACGGCCCGGGAGATGGCTGATGAACCACGAAAACACCACGGTCACCCAGTCCAACACAGAGACAACCGGATACAAGACGAGCGCACACGCCGTGGGACGGAAGCCTGTTCGCAGCCGTCGCTTTGCATGCCCGCATAGACCGCATTGGCCACGCCATGTCATTCCCAGATCCCAGCTTCCCAGAGGAGGAGCGAACGGCCGGATCGCGGGTAGGAGGAACTACCAGGGACGCGATCTCTTCTACTCCTACAAGAGAAGCGACAACATGCTGTCCCTTACCGATGCGACTGCACGAGAGAGCCAAACAAGGCTTCATCAATAAACTTACCGATGCGATGTGACAGGTCCTACTAGCCTAGACGGAGTTACAACATGGGGGATTCACAGGCACCAGCGGAGCCCGGAAACGAACAGGGAGCTGGACGTTTTGGCTTTGTCACAGCTCATGGCAAGGGAGGGCGATCGGTCGACGCAGCTCAGGACGAGCACAGGGAGGCCTTCTGCTTCGCCAGCATCTGGTTCAGCTTGCCGACGAGCTGCCGGTTGCTGCACATGTACACCCGGAAAGACGCCCGCAGGCTCTGGAGCGCGGCCACGTCGCTGTCGTTCGAGGGCGGGTTCAGCAGCGTCGTGAAGAGCTTCTGCCACAGATCAACGTTCCAGTACCTGCGATCCAAGTATCCAACCACATTGGGACGACGGACCAGTTGCTTGCTCAGTTGCTTCGCACCAACCCCAGGCACGCACGACTGCACGAGTCAAAGAGGAAGAGATCGCAGTGCACCTTTTAAACGGCAGTTTAGGTCGGTATTCGTAGCCTCCACCAATCCTGGGCACCTTCTCGACGCTCATGCATGTCCCATGTAGCATCATGTGCGCAACGACGCAGAGGCCGTATGTGTCGACCTACAGGCAGAAGAGAGCAGGGCACTGTATCAGATAGTGGCATTTAGGACTCCTAGAGTAACTGATGAAAGCACAGGCTCCTGACCTGATAAGTCCAGTTTCTATGTTCTTGCATCTCGATGCACCTGAATCCTGAGGTTCCACAGTCCCCGTGGAACTCCGTGGGGGAGGGGAAAAGATTCAGATCAATGCCACGGCCCCAGTCAACAAGGCAGAGCCCCTGAAATGCAGATTCCATAAGCCTCATAAAAGGGGGCTGTGATACCTCTAACGTGTAAGGACGGATATGCTGACCTGGTTCTTCTCATCTTTTTTTTCACTTCGGAAAGTGTCCTCTGTGATCTCTCCACTTTACATACCAAGAGAAGGATGACACTGATTAGTGAACAGCTCGATATATCAAAATAAAACGAGCTGACAAAGGTAACATGTTTTTTTTTTTTTGAATGCAACAAAGGTAACATGTTGAGCGAGAGCATGGGTAGGTAAGTTGAAGAACAGGCTATAATGCTAGATAGTACTGTTGTGCTTTTTCAAGAGCTTCTATAAATGGACACATTACAAATATTTTCTTATGAGTTACCTTGGGTATAAAAGGGGTCAAAATCATGCTTCCAAATAGAACGCCTGCTTTAACTACTTATTAGTTTGCTATTATTGTAAAAAAAATCTTCTTAATATAATGATACGCAGCTCTCCTGCGTGTTCGAGAAAAAATTATTGTCAAAAATCTTATTTCTCGAAAGAACGAGAGACCAGAACATCAACATTCAGCAGAAAACCAGAATAAGAGCATCAACATGGGGATTCCCATTACTACTCACGTAATGCAGACACAGTAAATCAGTATGTTTCTGCACCCACCAGGCCACGAGAGACCAGAACATCAACATTCAGCCAATGGAGCGATTATGAAGTTCATGCGTTCTTCATGGACAAACAACTCAAATACTTGCACCAATCAAATTATCTATCCTAGCTACAACAAAGTATTTAATATGTACGTGGAACTCATAAATTAATGTCATCCTAAGAAACAAGACAAAAAGATACGGCCTTTGCAAACATGGATGGCAATAATGATCCAACATTACAGGTTCTATATCTGAGATTTGCGATCTGAACACTTAATAGCAGAGAAAAGATTGCATGGTTATTACTGAGTAAACAGATACTGCTGAAGAGACGCATAAAGTGGTAACAGTAATGGTAATATGGTATAGCTACCTTGGGTAGCAAACAAGGATGTTGTCAGGCTTGAAATCACCATGTATTATGCCAACACTATGCAGTGTTTCCAGCATGTTCAGCATCTCTATGGTATAATACATGCATAGAACTTCATCCATGTACCGACCTTTTACTAAGTGAGAATTTATGACATCCTGCAGAAGGCTTGAGTTATATCTCATCACATCTTAGCAACATCGATTGGTTGTAGTTACATATTCATTATAGATAACCAACAAACAAAAATAGTTTTGTGGATTTTTTTATGCATATAATGTTAATTATTACCAGGAGAGTTCCGTACGGCAGGTAATCACAAACTAACACACTGACATCGGAGAAGATATGCATCTCATGCGCGTAGCCAAAGCTTGGTCTCTGGAAGTAAAACAATGTATATTATTAAATATCATTATGATTTATGAAAGAATGTTGAGCCTGCTCTTAACATAAATTATGTACCTCGACATCAGATATACGCTGATCAAGTTGGCGATACATGTAAAATTCCAAAGCATATGAGGGATTCTGAATCTGCATATAATGAACAGCGTTTAAAACTGGACCTAACTATGAAAGGTGAGTTTATGGAGACAATGGAAACATGGTTCACCTTCAAAGCAACCATTTCTTCTGTATTACCATCAACAGTGGCTTTGTATACTTTAGCAAAAGCACCAGCGCCGGTAGATCCTTTGATCTGATACTTTCTACCACCTTGACACAAAAAGGAATTGTAGTTGCATTTTGTAATAACAACACAAATAAACTTTATTGAAACAAAGAAGAGGATACATTTTTTAATTAATGTACTCATTGTAACTTGGGAGCATTAATTATTCAAGTAGTCAAATTAGGAACATGATTCAGAATGTATGGCAACATTGTGCAAGACTGAGAAACAAAATAATTACAGTTATACCTAACTCAATGACCTTGTTTCTTAAAACATTCAGCGAAGAAGTCAAGGGCACCTTTCCATAGTACACCTTGTTACTCTTATGATAGCCCTGTTAAGGATTTGTGCAACCATGATGAGTCTCATGCGGCACATCAGAGAACATACATGCTACTAGTGAACTTACAGAAAATGTCCTCAAGTCACCATTAATTGTCTCCAGTAAAGTGTTCCTAGTAGAAGCAGACCACGGATCTACCACAGAAGGTTCATTCTTCTGTTTTTTTGATGGTTCGGGCTGAAGGCAAGAACAAACAAAATAGAGCAAAGGATGTATATTAATCCACTTGGATGACAGGTATACATGAAAATAATACTATCTGAAACAATGGGCAATGATGAAAACTTTTAACAGAGAATGTTTGAAATAAAAAAAATGGAATAATATTTTGAATAAATACTTAACAGGCTTATGGGTGCTATAAATTTTACTCCTAAGTCTAAAAGGTAAAGGTCGCATGTCCCATTTTTCTTTGTTTATACTCCATAACAGTGCTTGGTTTTCTAAAGCTATACAAATTCTCTGTAACAGTGCTTGGTTTTCTAAAGCTATACAAATTCTCTGCCCTGGCATATCCCAAAACTTCTCCGGTAAACACTGGTAAATTCACAATAGAACATATGAACAGCATTTTTTCTCTTGAACAACGCAGGAGAACTGCGCATCATTTCATTAAGAAAGAGGGGACCGTACAAAATGTACCGGAAAAAAACGGGGGAGGCGTCAAGAGGTCTCCCTCTACAAAAACCCAACACACACAACCTATCTTACTAGCCTTTGAACTACAGAGACGACTGCGACCTTCAGAACCTGCCTAGACCCTAAAGGTCAGGGGAGAGCGACCTTATGAGAAGCTCCTGGAGGGCCGTAGCACCAGCCATGCACCATAAACTGCCCTCCTCAGCCACAGGTCTGAACATTTGGGTGAGATCCATCAAAAACACAGGTGTTCATGTGCTTCCAGAGCTCCCAAGCAACAAGGATGATCAGGGAATTATGTCCTTTGTGCATCTCTTTTGGAACACTTCTTAGGGCCTGATTGGGTGGCTTCCCATCCGAGCCTGGCTCGCTCTGGGCATGCAGACCCATGGCAGCCATGCTGGAGACGTGCAACACAGAGCTCTTCCAAGCAATCAGGATCCCTCCATGCGTGCAACTTGCCGGCAGGGCCACAGACTTATCATAATCAGAGCCAAAAACAAGGAAAAAAGCTGCAGATTTATAGATGCAACCTTGGTTACTTTGGTTTCCTGGAGGCAAACCACATCAGCCTTGGCAGAGAGGATAACATGCCGAACTGAATTACACCGCACTTTATTATTAAGACCACGGGCGTTCCAAACTAGAATTGCAGAAGGATTCGTGAGGAAATATATTTTGAACGGCCACCAAACAGGCCCAATCAGAAAGCCAAAAAGATTTCCGCGTAGCGGACCTCTTCACCCTCACCAACCTTCCACCCAAAGATGGCAGCCAAGGCAGTGAGGTGTGCATCAGAAAGGGGATTATCAAACAACTTGCTGTAATTGTCTTGAGCTGACTGGTTATCTTCTCCTCCACGGCAGAGAGGCCCAAGCTACAAATCACTCTCTTATACGCATCAGAGATCACCGGCCCTGGAGAGCATGGACCAGCGCCTGCCACATGTCTGCTTCGGTGGGGGAGTGATCCTGACAGTTTGGGGAATGAGCTTCACTACGGGCTTTGTTACCTTATCCAGAAGCTTGTCCCGCGTAGTCGGCGACAGTGTCATGATGATTGGATCCGATGCAGCCGTCGTGGGTGTTGGCATACAGGGGCGACGCCGTTGTCGGGAGTACACCCTCAGGGGACGGGACGACACTCCCGGAGGAGCAACGGGGGTAGCACAAGGCGAACAGCATGAATCAAAGAAAAGTGAAGCCTGAATGCAATCCCAGTTATGAAAACCCAGAATCAAATATATTTCTACCTCAAAACGTGATAACCAGTCTAAGCAATGAGAGGTGTGTTATTTTTCATATAGTCTTAGTTTACTGCAGGCCATGGGAATTGAAACAACAAACTTCAACTAATTAACATGGATCCAAGTGAAAACACTTTTTTTTAATGTATAAGTTAAAATAATGTAACAAGTATGAAACAGACATCAATGCACACATTAGCCTCAACACCCATGTTCAAATCTCAAGCAACATGCAATACATAAACAGATCAATGAAAGGAAACTAATCAAAAGCACAGGAATGTGCATCAAGCGACTGTGTGCAAACACAAGCATTTCACCACACAAGAAATAGAAAAAAATCCTTAGTTTGATATAAAGGAATCCAAAAATAAATGTGGTTGGCTCACATATATGAGCTAATGCATTGATGATTGGTCCTACAGTTCATTAGCTAAATGAATGCAATTATCAAAGAATCTTAATGTAGATCAAGTTAACTAAAAATGAACTGCCACATTTATGAAGCCTACAAAATAACCCAATAGGCTTTAGCTTCTCTGTAGACTTAATATTAGAAGTATAAAGCTCTAAGCTACCCTCAACAGGAACAGAAGATTACTACAGTTTCACATTAAATGATTAGTACTTAACAGCTTTTTCCTCCTGTGTGTTCGGAAAAAAAAAGTAGTTAACAGACTATACATTATCTCTTCCCTGCAATACAAGGTTTGCATGAACTCATAGAAATTAATGCAAGGTTCACACGGTAGTAAGCTAATCCATTTACTGGTCACAAAAATGCATCAATAGACTTGGGAAGTAAAGTATGGACATGATTTAAAATATAGAATGTAAAATCTTCAGGTTGAACAGCAGTTCAAAATATGTTTGCTGGAGAGCACTGAGAACTCTAGTAGCAATACATAACAAGCAGCCTAATGGCCAGACATCAAATGGCACAGGTCAACCATGAGAACCTCATATGAAGGTTGCAATTAATTACGAAGCCCATGACCTATTTGACAAACACAGAAGTGTAATGCTCAACATACCCGTGAGCTATTTCTGTAGTCAGCATACTCATGGATACAAACAAATACTGAGAGGTTTGATAAATACAAAAGTGTGGTGCTCAACATGCAGGCTGGAAACAACTAAATCACAGCATGTGGTTACTCTACCTGTGCTTCCGCGCCTGCTTCTTCTACAATATTCTCCAAATGTTTCAGAAACGTCAAGTGCATCTTCTTCAAATGATCAAGGGGCTCCGCCTTCCTAGTTAAGCCACAGACCATAATTTAACATCACATGGACCTGTGAATATATCAGGTTGTATCTGCTTAAAAAGAGGTAAATTTCAAGTGGAAAATATTTTCACTCACACTAACCTGGAAATACCAATTCCGTACACCTTATCAGCCTCAACCACTTTCCCATGAGCAATTAGATACTGTGCATACGAGTCATAGAGTAGCGCATGCTCCAGAAACATTCTTTTCTCCTCCAGTTGGTTGTAAACACTGGGGAAGTCCTCAGTTGCATCTGCCTAAAAAGCAAGAATCACAAAAGACCCCAAAAAAGATAAGCAAAATAATAAACAGCAACCTAGGAGGAATGAGATCAGAAATGATGTATAAAATCAATCAGGTTACATAGAGGATCCAGATCTTGAGGAGCCGTGGATCAGTGGAGTATTGGTAGTCATCCCCATATTTTGAAATGCATTCGATCAAGTAATGCTTGAGCCGGTCTAAGGCTGCCATGTCATACTGAGGGCCTGTCCCGAGCTCATCCATGGCCCTGCTGATAGACCTGAATACAAACCCAGAAACCAATATTAGCAACCCAAGCACAGCTCACACAAATACATACATGGATTTTCTAGAAGAGGAAAATCAGACCTATATGCAGCCTAATTAAGACCGAAATCAAGGTCCCACACATTGCAGCCTCACAAGCATTTGAATTTGGAATCGACATATGCTAGTGCATCCCAGTTCAATCCCACGAGGGTACTGATATGCATCAGTAACCAGAGGTTGAATCGCGGAGGTACAGCCGCGCAAGCTAAACTAAACGCCCAAATTGCACATGCTTACATTCAACCAAACGGCGGAACCTTCAGATACACTAGCACACGCACGGACGCACCCGTGCACTAAGCGAGCTCCCACACGGATTCGCACACACTTAAGCGAATCCAAGTAACGGAGGCAAATCTCGAGGTCGATTCGGGAGTACCTGAGGTACGGGAGGATGGGGTCCGAGGGCAGCGAGGCCACCTCCCTCGAAAACCTAGGCGACTTCCGGAGCGGGCTAGAGGCGGCCCCCGGCGCGGCGCCCGGCGTGCGTTCCAGGACCACCATGCCCGGATACGGAGCGCCTCTGGGACGAACCCTGCGGCGATCGCCGGCCGCGAGATGGCGACGAGCAGCTCTACAATTAGCTCTCGGGTGTGTGACAGTGTGAGCCGGGGACGGCACTGGAGATGGTTGGCAGCCTGGCAAGAAGGGGAATTTTGAAAAAAAAAAACGAGCCTTTTAGCCGTGTGACACGAGGAACAATTAAAAAGTTTAAACGCACGTGGTGCCATAACACTAAATTTTCTTAACCTCCACATGATTCCATCCACTTTTAGAGATAACATTGGCTAACCATGCTGAGAAAAGACTTAAATGCCCTCAGGCCAGAATAGCTGAGATAAAGTTCTATTTCCCCATGTGCCACTCTCTAGCTAAGTGTGTGGGCACCAAACTGATTATCGTCGACCATTTTTGACCTCACTAATTTAATTGGTGTTTAAATGATTTGCAACATTTTTTAGTTTTAAATATCACAAATTTGATAGATAAGCATTCCATGTCCACCGATCCAGAAAGATGCAGAAGTAGCGCCTGTGCCTGATGTGACTTGCTCATGCATCTGCTTCGCCGCGTGAGGCGAGGACTTCTACTCCTGCCGTTCCCAGGTATTGCTCCACGGTGGTAGTCGTACGGCCACCACCTGTGCGCCACCGACGAGAGGGCCGCATGCCGCGCTTGAAAGGTCCTAATGGCTAGAGGGGGGATGAATAGCCTAATAAAAATCTACAACAACACTTAACAAAATGTGTTAGACAATTTTACGGCGAAGCGAGTGTTGCGCTAGCCTACTAAAATGCAAGCCACCTACCACAATTCTATTTCGAATAGTGTATATCCACACAATAGCTATGACACTTAGCTAAATTAGTGTACTCTCAAAGACAAACTAAAGAGCAACACTAATCAAACAAACAAGCTCTCATAACTAGCTACACTAAAGAGCTTGATAACTAGTTTGCGGTAATGTAAGAGTGAGCAAGAGAGTTATACCGCCGTGTAGTGGTAGGAACCAATCAATCACAATAATGAATGCCAATGTAGACCAATCACCTCGGAATCAAATGATGAACACAATGATTTTTACCGAGGTTCACTTGCTTGTCGGCAAGCTAGTCCTCGTTGTGGCGATTCACTCACTTGAAGGTTCACGCGCTGATTGGCATCACTCGCCAAACCCTCAATAGGGTGCCGCACAACCAACACAAGATGAGGATCACACAAGCCACAAACAATTTACTAGAGTATCTTTTGGCGCTCCGCCGGGGAAAGATCAAGAACCCCTCACAATCACCACGATCGGAGTCGGAGACAATCACCTCCTCCACTCAACGATCCTTGCTGCTCCAAGCCGTCTAGGTGGCGGCAACCACCAAGAGTAACAAGCGAAATCCGAAGCGAAACACAATCACCAAGTGCCTCTAGATACAATCACTCAAGCAATGCACTTGGATTCACTCCTAATCTCACTATGATGATGAATCAGTGATGTAGATGAGTGGGAGGGCTTTGACTAGGCTCACAGGGTTGCTATGTCAATGAAAATGAGCAAGTGTTACTCCCTTGAGTCGGCCATGGGGCTATAAATAGAGCATCAATCAAATAGAGCCGTTATACCCCTTCACTGGGCAAAACGCGCTCTGACCAGACGCTCCGGTCATACTGACCGGACGCTGGCCCTCAGCGTCCGGTTGCCCGATGGACGCCACGCATCACCAGCTTCAAACGCTGTTCGTCAGATTTCAACGGCTGCGAAGCTGACCGGACGCTCCGGTAAAACTGACCGGACGCTGAAGCCCCAGCGTCCGGTCGTTTCTAGTAAGCTCCCCGAGGCATGTTTTTTCGACCGGACGCGTCCGGTCCACCTTGACCGGACACAGCCAGCGTCCGGTGCTCAACCCTAGCCACTGTGCCGTCTGACAGCTCGACCGGACGCAGCCTTTCAGCGTCCGGTCGCTGAGTGACCCAGCGTCCGGTCAGTAGACCGACGCCAGCATCATTTCGATCAACTCCATTTCAACTCTTACTTCTTCATCCTTGCTCAAATGTGCCAACCACCAAGAATTTTGCATCTGGCGTAATAGAAAATAGACATTTCATTTTTCCAAAAGCGCCGAATCCCGCCTCGCAAGCTCGGCGGGAGGGAGAGAGGGACCCAAACCCATCTCAACCCTGCAAACACCTTGTGCACATGTGTTAGCATATTTTCACAAATATTTTCAAGGGTGTTAGCACTCCACTAGATCCTAAATACATATGCAATGAGTTAGAGCATCTAGTGGCACTTTGATAACCGTATTTCGATACGAGTTTCACCCCTCTTAATAGTATGGCTATCAAACCTAAATGTGATCACACTCTCTAAGTGTCTTGATCACCAAAATAAAATAGCTCCTACAAGTTATACCTTTGCCTTGAGCTTTTTATTTTTCTCTTTCTTCTCTTCAAGTTTAAGCCCTTGATCATCTCTATGCTATCACCATTGTCATGTTATGATCTTCATTTGCTTCTCTACTTGAAGTGTGCTACCTATCTCATGATCACTTGATGAACTAGGTTAGCACTTAGGGTTTCATCAATTTACCAAAACCAAACTAGAGCTTTCAGCGCTGCTCAGGCCGGTTGGAGGTCGCACGCCGCCCTGCTCAAACAGACAGACATGTCTGCCACCCACCTCCTAGATGTTGTTGCGATGGTGGTGCTGCCTCCACAGGAGACCATTCATGGGCCGCTGCGTTGGTCGTAGACCTCTGCCGAGTACACCACCGAGGCGTCGACCTGCACTTGGCTGCCACCATCTCACCCATTCCTTTTCGCACCAAAGTATGACGTAGCTACGCAATACGCACCTTGGCCTCGCCCCTGTTGCCTGTTCGGATATCTTGGTTACCCAAACAAGAACACCGAACACCCGAGATACTCATCTGTTTCCAACATCTAGTACACACCTGTGGGGGTATGGCCTCCGGCAAGACATGGGTCGCACCATCAGAGGTGACCCAGTCCATAAGATCAAGACGTGCACGGCACTGGTCGTCGTACATCGTAAGTTATTATATAATATCAAATAGGATACTTTCCTTATAACTCTACCCCTCCAAAATATATAAGGAGAGGCAGGGGTCCCCAAGACGAAAGCTACTACATCTCAATATAATACACCAAAGACACAGGACGTAGGGTATTACGTCGATCAGACGGTCCGAACCTGTCTAAATCATTGTCTCTGCGCCTTGTGTCACCATCCGATTCCTATCACGCGCACCTCCACCGATCAATCTACCTTCATGGGATACCCCTCAGATGACTGTTGAGCATCTTTTGTCGACAGTTGGTGCGTTAGGTAAGGACTGTGCGTGTTGATCCCTGACGAACTAGGCAGATGTGACACATGGTCTTCACGGCATCCCTCTGCTCCTACATCCAACGTCGCGATGGGTTTCGGCTCAGTATCCACCGCATCCTCACCTGGAGATTGCAGCATCCAGCACGGGGGGTACACATCATCACGTGGTGGTACGCCACCAACCAACGATTCCAAAATCATCCATCCAGTAAACAAAGGAGCATTCAAGATCTGAAAAGGCGTGCTGGCTCATTCCGGCTTGCATGCATGGGTTCATGATCTACGTCATCATGCAAGCTAATTATAGCTTTCACAAACAAGCAAGGCCAAGCGGATATGGGTATATACACGCATGAACAGGTCATCCGAACCACGTCCGACTACCAGACCCTGCTAAGGGGGTGTTTGGTCCGGGGACTAATTTTTAGTCCCCTGTCATATCGGATGTTTGACATTAATTTGGAGTATTAAATATATTCTAATTACAAAACTAATTACACAGATGGAGACTAATTTGCGAGACGAATCTATTAAGCCTAATTAGTGCACGATTTGATAATGTGGTGCTACAGTAAATATGCGCTAATGATGGATTAATTAGGCTTAATAGATTCGTCTCGCAAATTAGTCTCCATCTGTGTAATTAGTTTTGTAATTAGAATATATTTAATACTCCAAATTAGTGTCCAAACATCTGATGTGACAGGGACTGGAACCAAACACCCCCTAAATCTGTCTTTGACGATTGGGTTCGACTCCAACTCAGACACGACGGGGGCTTCGGCTTCCGCGCTGATTGCCTCTGCTACGACAAGAGTCCGACGTCTTCACGATATGACCCAATCCGGCATACAAGCAATCAAGAGTTGTATGTATTCATGCATGTACGTTGCTTGTACTCAGCGTCAAGGCCGTGGATTTCTCTACTCAAACGACGACTATGAAGACAATGCACGCATCAAGCACGCTTCGGCCACGCCCCATCTACTCCGCCATACAACATCGTTTCTCCGACCAGTCAATGATCTCCCCGAATCTCCTAAGGCCGATCACTAATATAAGGACGACGTCGTCCGGACTACTTACTTCGACCACCTGCCGCGTTGCAATGATGATCGTCGCAAAAAACGGAACCATGACAACCACGACCGCCGCCATGACGATAGTTTGGAAAGCTCGAGGGCCGAGCAATTTTGTCAATGCCGATCAGATAACGCCATATGCTGCCGACCAGACGTCTGTCTAAAGCTAAGTCACGCTTTAATATTTTTCTAAATATTCTCTAATCTTCGTATATCGCCATAATGTTTCTCCGAGATGTTTTCTCCATGTTTGCTCTCCAAACGATTTTTTGAACCCCAAACAGTCATGTTGACGATCGGATGTCTCTAGAGACGATCCTGTCTCCGGCTCCTCCCTACACGTGCACGAGCGTCTGCCCTCTGCGTTATAGGTGGTCGGCAGTGGCTCCTTAGCGACGCTTTATTCTTCCTACACGCACACAGGCTTCGCACTCCGCGTTATGGTTAACGGGCTAGCTAGGGCTGGAGACTCAGCTACACACTAACTGGTCGAGCGGTTTATATTAAATATAAATACATCTTTAGACCAACTGATCGTCGATCTGCATATGCTATTTCATTGCCATTGCTGATTATTC